TACTTCTTGCTTTCCAGTCTGTATGGCTTTTATTTCATTTGACCTTGTGCTGTCTGGGAGTGATGAGGGCAGATACTCTTGCCTTGCTCCTGATTTTATGGGGAAGGTATTCAGTCTTTTATCATTGAGCATGATATTGGTTGTAGATTCTTTGTAAATGCTCTTTATGAGGTTGAAGAATTTTCCTCCAATTCATAGTTTACTGAGGCTTTTTATTATGAATGGTTATTAAATTTTGTCAAATGCTTTTTCTGCATCTATAGAGATTATCATACGGTTTGTCTTCCTTAGAACACTGATTTGGTGAATTACATTTATTGATATTAATATTGAGTTAGTCTTGCATGCTCTTGGGTAAACCCCACTTAGTCATTATATGTATCCTTTTTATATTTTGCTAGATTTGATTTGCTCACATTTTGTCATAGATTTTTACATCTCTGTTTATTAGAAATACTAATCTGTAATTTTTGTTTGTTTTGCTATTAGGGCCTCATCAAATAAGTTGGGAACTGTTTCTTCCTATTTTGTTTTTTGGAAGGTTTTTGAAAAAATTAGTATTTCTTAAATGTTTGGTAGAATTCATCAATGAAGCCATTTGGGCCTGTAGTTTTACTTGTTGGAGAGTTTTTCACTATGATTAAATTTTTCTTTAATGGATAGAGGAATTTTTAGATTAAGTATTTCTTCTTAAGCAAGTTTTGATAACGTCTCTTTCTCAAATTTGTGCATTTCAATGATGTTGTTGGATTTATGGGCATAGAGTTGTCAGTAAAATTTTATTATTATTCTTTCAATATCTGTTGGATCTATAATGCTGTCCTTTCTTCAATTCCTGATACTGGTAATTTGTTTCTTCTCCTTTTTTTGTCCTGATCAGTCTGCTATGTGTTTATGAATTATATTAATCTTTTCAGTGAGCCTGATTTTGGTGTTACTAATTTTCTCTGTTTTTCTGTTTTCAATTTCATTGTTTTCTGTTTATATCAATATTTCTTCCTTTTGTTTGCTTTTAGTTTAATTTATTTGTCTTTTTCTATTTTCTTAAGGTAGAAATTTAGATCGTTTTTCTTGTTTTATTATAAACATGTAATTACATATATTTCCCAAGAACTTTTTTAGCTTTTTTCTACAAAGTTTGATTATGTGTTTTCATTGTCCTTCAGTCAAAATATTTTCTAATTTTTCTGTGACTTCCTCTTTGACCTGTAGATTCTTTAGAAGTGTTCTAATTTATAGATATTTGGGCATTTTCCATATATTTTTCTGTTACTGGTTTCCAGTCAATTTCACTGTGGTAAGAGAACGTATTTCCTGTAAGTTTACAGGTTTTTGTTTTTTTAAAATTTATTGAGGTTGGTTTTATGGCTCAGATATGATCTATCTTAGAGAATGTTTCATGTGTACTTGAAAGAACATGTTGCTCTTGTTGGGTGGAGGGTTCTATAAATGTCAATTTGGTTCATAGTCTTCTATCAACCAGGTGTTCTATATCCTTACTGATTTTTTTTTTTGTCTATTTGTCCAGTTAGTTACAGAGAGAGATGATTAAGTCCCTAGTTATAATTATGAACTTGTCTATTTCTCTTTTTATTTCATAGTTTTCCCTCATTTATTTTAACAGCCTGTTGTTGGATGCATAAACGTTCAGGAATATTGTGTGTTTTTGGAAAATTTATCCCTTCATTGTCATGGTACTATACTTTCTTTTTAACTACATATTGATGTTTAAAGTGGATTTTTTAAAATGGGTTTTTATTGATTTCAGTTAGTGATTTCATTTCTTCAGATAAATATCCAGAAGTGGATGGTTGAGTCATGTGATAGTTCTATTTTTTAATTTTTTGATGGACCTCCATACTTTTTCCATAGCACTAGCTATACCAATTTACATTTCCACCAACAGTGCACAAGGGTTCTCTTTTCTTTATATCCTTACCAACACTTGTTATTTCTAGTCTTTTTGATAATAGCTTTTTGAAGGAATAATCTCATTGTGGTTTTGATTTGCATTTTCCTGAGAATTAGTGATGCTGAACATCTTTTCATATACATGTTGACCATCTGTTGTTTTTGGAAAAATGTCTATTCAGATTCTCTGCCCAATTTTTAATCAGATTGTTTGTTTTTGCTATTGATTTATGTGAGACCTTTATATATTTTGGATATTAACCCCTTACAGATACATGTTTTACTTATATTTTCCCCATTCAGTAGGTTGCCTTTTTATTTTGTTGATGGTTTCCTTTGTTGTACAGAGCTTTTTAGTTTGATTTAGTCCCACTTGCTTATTTTTGTTTTTTTGTTCCATTTAATTTTGGTGTCAAATTTAAAGAATCATTGCTTACGTCCTATGTTTTGTGTGTGTGTGTTTTTAGGAGTTTTATGGATTCAGGTCTCACATTTAAGTCTTTAATCCATTTTTAGTCAGTTTTGGGATATGATGTATAATTATGGTCCATTTTCTTTTCCTATGTATGAGGCTGTCCAGTTTTCTCAGCAATTATTGAAGAGTTTATTAATATATTTTTGACTTCTTTATTGCAAATTAATTGAGTGAGTTTATTTCTGGGCTCTCTATTCTCTTTGATATGTATGTCTCTTTTATGTCAATATCATACTGTTTTGATCATTATAGCTTTATAATATAGTTTGAAATCAGGGAGCATGATGCCTCCAACTTTGTTCATTTTTCTCAATATTGATTTGGCTATATGGGGTCTTTTGTGCATATAAATTTCAGAATTATGTGTTTTATCTCCGTGAAAAATGTCATCAAGATTTTGATAGGGATGGCATTGAATCTATATATTGCTTTAAGTAGTATGGGCATTTTAACAATTTTATACAGATACTAGAGGTCTGATGCACAAAATTTGTGCAAGGGGCTCAGCCCTCACAGCCATGGCAGCTTGCCTCGGCCCTCGAAGCCCCAGCTTCATCTGGAAGGTCGTTCGGCTACCTGGTCTAATTAGCATATTACACTTTTATTATTATAGATATGCAGAACATTCTATCCTAAAGCAATGGAATATACACTATTCTCAAGTGCACATGGAATATTGTTCTGAGAGAAATTAAAAAAGAATACCCTGGGATAAGTGGAAATGGAAATAGAACATACCAAAACATTGGGATGTAACAGTAACTGTTCTAAGAGAGACATTCACAGCAATAACTGCTTAGATCAAGAAACAAAATCTAATTTTACACCTCAAGGAACTAGAGAAAGAAGAAAAAAGTACAAAGCAATGAGAAAGAAGGAAGCAACATAGATCAGAGCTGAAATAAATGAAATAGAAACTAAAAAGACAATAGAAAATATTAATGAGTTGATTAGTTAAAAACATAAACAAAATTGACAAATCTTTAGCTAGAAAGAGAGGATTCTCAAATAAATAAAATCCCAAATGAAAGAGATATTATAACTGATACCACAAAAATACAAAGATTCACAACAGACTATGAACAATTGTACACCAACAAATTTGACTATCTAGAAGAAACAGATAAATTCCTAGACATACAACCTGCCAAGACTGAATCATTAAGGAAGAGAAAATCTGAATAGATTACTAAAAAGAGATTGAATCAATAATCAAAAACTCCCAACAAACAAAAGTGCAAGATCAGACAGCTTCACTGTTGATTTCTACCAAACATTCTAAGAAAATTAATACCAACTCTTCTTAACTCTTCCAAAAAATAGAAGAGGAGGGAACACTTCCAAACACATTTTATAAGGCCTGCATCACTGATACTAAAACTAGACAAGGATACCACAAGAAAAGAAAATTACAGGCCAATATTCCTGATTATAAGCAAAAATCCTCAACCGATTATTAGCAAATCAAATTCAACAGTACATAAAAAGATCATATACCATAATCAAGTGGAATTTGTTCCAGGAATGCAAGGATAGTTTATCATCTACAAATCAATCAATGTGATACACCACATTAACAGAATGAAGGATGAAAATCATATGATCATCTTAATAGATGTCAGCACACAGCTGACATATTCAACAGTGGAAAGCTGAAAGTTTTTCCTGTAGAATCAGAACAAGACAGAATGCCCACTCTTACCACTTTTATTCAACACTAGAGGCCCAGTGCATGAAATTTGTGCAGTGGGGGAGAGAGGTGTACCTCAGCTCAGCCTGCACCCTCTCCAATCTGGGATCCCTTGGGAGATGTCCAACTGCTGGTTTAGCCCCGATCTTGTGGTGGTCATCTTGTAACTGCAGTTGGACATCCCTCTCACAATCCAGGACTTCTGGCTCCCAACCACTCACCTGCCTGCCTGCCTGATCACTCCCTAACCACTCCCCTGCCAGCCTGATCGATGCCCAACTGCCCTCCCCTGCTGGCCCGGTTGCCCCCAACTGCCCTCCCCTGCCAGTCTGGTCACCCCTAACTGCCCTCCCCTGCCAGCCTGGTTGCCCCTAACTGCCATCCCCTGCAGGCCTGGTCGCCCCTAACTGCCCTCCCCTGCTGGTCTGGTTGCTCCTAACTCCCCTCCCCTGCCAGCCATCTTGTGGTGGCCATCTTGTGACCACATGGGGGTGACCATCTTGTGTGAGGGCGTGATGGTCAATTTGCATATCACCACTTTATTATATAGGATAGTATTGTAAGCTCTGGCCAGAGTAATTAGGCAAGAAAAAGAAATAAAGGGCATCCAAGCTGGAAAGGGAGAGGTAAAATTGTCACTGTTTGCCGATGACATTTTTAAAGGCATTTTGAAAGCAGGTAAATCTCAAATTGATCTGTAACCTGTTATCTAGAAATGCTTTTTTTAATGTAAAGTTAGATAAATACATGAGATTGGAATTATTTTTTTAATTGTCTGAAGTTTTACCTTTTTCTCAGATTGGAATTTAGGAGTTTTGATTTTGGGGCTTTTTATCTAGACATTTAGCTTTGCTTCCTCATTTTATCAAATATATCTTAGGTAATTAGTAAAAATTAATGTTTTATTTCATTTTCTACTTTTAGTGTTAAATGTTTACAAAAGACAGTGAAAGATTCTTATCACATAATATGTAGACCATGTGCCTGTGAACTTGAAGTTTGCGCAAAATGTGGAAAGAAAGAAGACATTGTTACTCCGTGAGTATTTCTTTTATGTTTGGGTTTTACTGTTTTAATAATTAGTAAGCGAATTTTATTTAAGGAAATGTTCATTAGCTCTGAAGGTCTTAAGTTTCAGCGTATCACACTAATGTAGACTTTTTCTACCTAATAGAAAAAAGTCTTAATTTATCATTACAGATTAAAGTGAAACTTTATATTTTTAGGAAATTAAAATATTTATCCATGATGTTTATATTCATTACTCATTATTAAAAAGTTCTTTATTATGTAACTACTTTTCTTTACTGGACATCATGCATTAATTTCTACTTTTTTGACAGCAGTCAATAACTATATATTGAAAAAGACATTAAAGAATTATAATAATATAATTCATTGGGTCATAACTTAGTCTTCAAGGATTTTTTTCTTTTTATTTATTTCATTAGGCTTCTGTTAATCAGGAAATGTAGCATAATGATATTTTCAAGCCACACAAGTAAATAGTGAAAGCCTGGGAAATAAAGAGGTTTTTCCTTCCATCTTTAGGTTTAATAAAGAAGCAGAAAAGACAGAAAACATTGAAAATAATCCACATTCCAATTGTAGAAGAAGCTGCAGAAGAAATAAAGAAGAAAGTGATGATTTAGATTTTAATATTGATTTAGATGACTCAGAAGAAGATGACAATCAAATAGATTAATATATTAAAAGTCAGGGTGAAAACATGAAATTCTGAACAACTTTTTATTTGAGGGTTTTACAGAAAAATACTGTGAAATCCTAATAAAGAATTTAGAATAACCTATAGAAAATGATAACATTTATACATGGACAATATAAATTGTGAATAATATTTGAACAGTTATATAACTTATGCAGACTTTTCTTTATTTTTTTATTTTTATTTTTTAAATATATTTTATTGAGTTTTTACAGAGAGGAAGGGAGAGATATAGAGAGTTAGAAACATCGATGGGAGAGAAACATCAATTAGCTGCCTCCTGCACATCTCCTACTGGGGAGGTGCCCGCAACCCAGGTACATGCCCTTGACCGGAATCGAACCTGGGACCTTACAGTCCGCAGGCCGACGCTCTATCCACTGAGCCAAACCAGTTTCGGCGATGCAGACTTTTCTTACAATAAATTTCTAAGTAGCATATGCTAGAAGATCTGCCCAGTGAGCATTGGGGTATCATAATGCAGTTCATGGGAATTATATAGAAGAATATCAAAGTAACAAGATTCAGAATTGATGGTTTTGTAAGAACTATCTCATAGAAAAAATCCGATGACATTATTGCTAGCCTCAAAAATGGGTCCTCAGGTGTGTTCCTTTTGATAAATTTATCTCAAGTAAATGACCATAAACAAAAGCCCTAACTTAAAGTTTGGTTGCTTTATAAAGCAGAAAGTTAATTTTTTAAATAATAATGTTTAACAAGTATGTAGCAGTTTCTTTAAATGTATTTTTATCATCGCATTTTAACCTTTTTTCTTTTATAAAATATACATACAGAAAACTGCATAAAATATGTATGTATAGTTTAGTAAATACTTATCAAGAAAACTCATACATCTTGTCACACAGATGAAGAACTACTCCTAAACAATGTAAATTAGCTTTATCTGACTTTTTAACTTTTTTTCTTTTTATTATGAAAAATCTCAAACCTAAAGAAAAGTAGCAAAATAATGCAATGAACCTTTGTATAATCCTACCTAGATTCATATTTGTTAACAGTTTGCACATTTTGTTTGTATCTAAATAGGTGGATATGGATATATATTTTATTTGCTGAACCATTTAAAAATAAGTGGCAGGCATTAGTTTTGAATACATGTATGCACATTATTTTGTACCTCTTTATTTTATTAATATGAAATTTGTGAGATTGATTCAGGTTGTTGCAAAAGCTGTTACTAGTTCATTTAGATGTCTCTGTTTTATTCTATTGTATTTATGTACCATGATTTTATACTCTCTAATGTTGAGAGCCATTTGAGTTATCTCAGTTTTTCCCTATTACAAAGAATACTGCTTTGAACATTGTTATGTATGTTTTTGGTACACGTCTTTTTTCTTGGTACACATTTTTATATACACGAATCTAGCAGTTGTCGAGGGCATCAGTATTACTATACTACAGTGCCAGCTGTCTTTCCAGGACTGCCATCTCCCCCACAGCAGTGTGTCAAGAGTTCTAGTGCTCTGCCTCGTTTCCAAAACTTGGTATCAAATTGCTGAATTTCTGTCAGTTTGATATGTGTGCAGCATACATTTTGCCTCGTTAAGAGTGTAATGTCAATTTAAAATGTTTCAGCATAGGCCCTGGCGGGGTAGCTCAGTTGGTTAGAGTATTGTCCCGATACACCAAGATTGTGAGTTCGATCCCTGGTCAGGGCACATACAAAAAGTAACCAATGGCCCTAACTGGTTTGGCTCAGTGGACAGAGCATCGGCCTACGGACTGAAGGGTCCCAGGTTCGATTCCGGTCAAGGGCATGTACCTTGGTTGCGGGCACATCTCCATTTAGGGGGTGTACAGAGGCAGCTGATCAATGTTTCTCTCTCATGGATGTTTCTAGCTCTCTATCCCTCTCCCTTCCTCTCTGTAAAAAAATCAATAAAATATATTTTAAAAAAAGTAACCAATGAATGCATCAATAAGTGGAACAACAAATCAATGTTTCTCTGTCTCCCTCTCTGAAAACCAATCGGAAAAAAAAATGTTTTAAAAAATTTTGACATAAAAGGTAAAGACATAACATTACAGTGGCATCAAAGACATGTTAACCAGAAATAAATTTTTAAAATTCTCAAGAACTCTGTCGACAAAATCTTATCAAGACATTAAAGAAAATGGAGACAAAAATTGAGAAAGATAAAATAAGTAGAGAGAGATACCATGTTCATTATGTGGAAGTCTCAATCCTCTAAGCTTACAGTCTTACTAAAAGTTTCTTTGTGTGGCTTACCTGTTTGCATATAAATTTATTTTCTGGACTGTATAACTTTTGTGGCTAAAGAGACAACTAAATTTTTATGAGGCCTAGAATAAGTTCTTTCCCATCTGAATAAATAATAATTCCTCAGATTACTGGGAGGGAAATTTAACAAACAGCATCACCTAGTGACATCTGCTAATATCTGCACTTCCTTCTTTGGTACTAACAAAAGTTTTGTTTTAACAGACTTCAATTTAATTGTTATATGTAGATCATTTAAAAATTTTATTTTTATTGATTTTTAGAGAGAAAGGGAGAGAGAATAAACATCAATGCGAGAAGTGGCTGGCTGCCTGCTGAATGCCTTCTACCAGGGATTGACCCCCTAGCCTGAGCTTGTGCCCTGACTGGGAATTGAACTGGCAACCCTCTGTGCATGGGATGATACCCAATCAACTGAGCCACACCAACCAGGGCTATTTAGTTCATTTTTATTTATTTAGGTATTATCCTTTCTAATCCAAACATGTTGCAGCCAGGTGTGGTTCAGTATTCAGGCTAATTGAAGTTCATTCGTCCATGTATGGAGCCCAACATGTTTATGCGCCATGCAGGTGCAGGAGACTCAGCACCCCTGCGGCAGGAGTTCCAGGAGCCAGAGCCCTAGAGCCTTTGTCTAGAAATATATATATTTAGACTTCATGCACATGTAGTGACCATGTCCATGCTGGCCAATTGCCTGTTTCCAGGTGTGATTAGCAGGCAAGCGTTTTCCCCACATCACTCAGACCTTACTGAGCATGGGTCTAAACTGCCTTTGTCTAGTCCAGCCGTGGGCAAACTACGGCCCACGGGCCGTTTGAAATGAATAAAACTAAAAAAAAAAA